AGCTACTGAATGTCATGTAGTGAAGATATTTGTATCTTGATTTTACAATTTTGACACTGTAATCAAAGTTCCCCATAGGATTTATAGCTACTCATTGAAATTAACTTCACTGATTTAGCAATCTTGTTATACAAATATGAAATAAATTCAAGTATTAGTTGGATAAATTAGAAAGCTTCTCACTTAATTACTATTGTAGTAGCGGCTGATGAGAGAATAATGTTCACTTTGTAGGGTCATTCATCAGATGTGCATTCAATTTGTTGGGATACAAATGGAGATTATTTGGCATCTGTTAGTCGGGAGTCTGTCAAAGTATGGTCGGTCGCATCGGGAGAATGCATTCACGAGCTCAGTTCCAGTGGGAATATGTTCCATTCTTGCGTTTTTCACCCGAGCTATTCCTCCCTCTTGGTTATCGGCGGTTACCAGGTTATACTTCGCTTTACAATTATGCATTATTTCCTTAGCTCTACTGTACCATTTGCTTCCAGTTATTCCCCCACATGCATTAAGTGCCTATGTTTCAGGAGTTTATTTATAACCAATTAGATCAACGTTATCTTCGAGCCTGCAACTTTTTATAGGAAGAACAATTTCAGTTCGGATTATAACACGAGAAAGTTACTTTTTAAAAAAATTGTTATGAAATATGTTCACACACCAACAGAGCCCCAAGTTTTGTCATTTCATATATCGATTTCGTCGAGCTGACATTGATGAGACCGATATTGGTATGAGAACACTTTGTTTGATTTGCTAAAAGATATCGAGTTAGACATCAGTGATGTACCTATTATTATTATTATCTCTTTGTAACCCAATTCGATCCGATGAATTGCAGTCATTGGAGCTGTGGAACATGGTTGAGAACAAGTGTATGACAATGCCCGCTCACGAGTGCATGATTTCGTCGTTGGCTCAATCACCAGTAACAGGAATGGTCGCCTCCGCGAGCCATGACAAATCTGTCAAGATATGGAAATAAGCATACATACCCACATCAACTTCTCTGGCATTAGGTGAGTCAAACTCTGATTATTACACAAATCTAATGGCTCTTCTCCATTTTTTCTCAAAAACTACATCTAAAAATGGAGTTTTAAAAATGAAAAGTAAAAGATGGGAAAAGTAAAAAGAAGAGAGTTCTTGTTGTATTGAAAATTTACCTTCCATTTTTCTTCATTATTTAGAGTTATGGTGGGTAGATAAGTTAAGCTAGTGTGTGATATTCCCCTCATGGGTTGTCTAATAGATTTCACAAACTGAACCTTCTTTTAACCCTATTGATAGAGCTTAATTTTAACTGTTAAAGATTTACTGCCTTCCTTCTCATTATTACTAACTTATAAGTTAATAATTTTGTTTTTTTTTTTAATTTATTAAATCTTATTATTATTATGGTTCCTTGTTGCCCTGCTTTGGTTCTCTATTTAGTTCTTAAACAACCCATTCCTTTAAGTTTCATTTATATATTTTTATTTTCTTCCCTGAATTTTAAAATAAAATAAAATTTTCATGAATCATTTAGCATAGATTTGTTCATTAATTTGTGTCAAATTTTAAGGTGGGTCTAAAAACTTATTAAATTTGGTAATTGAAATTAATTAAATAAATTAAGTTATAGCTATATTATAATTTAAAAATAATAAATCAATTAACGACTTAAGAGGAAGATAATATATGTTTATATGCCACGTGGGCCAATCCAAATCTGCCATCTGTGTCATCATTATTTTGGTTAGGCAAATCATTGAGGCGAAGAAAAAAGTGTAGAAATTCTTATTTTTATCTCATAGTTTGCTGTCTAGCAAGATAAATCCAAGAACGTCAATGCGTGTGGGGCCCACTATTTTTTTTTATTTTTTTTAAAAGGCTTTTTCTTTTTAAATAATTATAAATAAAATAGCAATAATAATAATAAATAAATAAATAGTGGAAAAGTACAAATCGAATAAATTAAATTAGCTATGGCAGATAATGTGGAGGTTGCATGGTCTGCCTAGTCTGTACCAACTTGGCTTTCCCACCTTCCATTTGTTCTTTAAAACGCGTCGAAATATTATTATTAAATATTTCTTTTTTGAATAATAAGAATTTTGGATAATTGTCTTTATTTAATGCGAAAAATTATAGTATTTATTTTTCTTCAAAAATTATAATAAAATGATATTTGTTTATTAAATCAATTTAAATAGTTATTTCAGGAAAAAAAAAAGATTTACTTTTTACCTTGATTCTTACCTTACCAACTTTATTCTTAAATTTTTAGGTTTAAATTCCATAAATAATTGTTTTTTAAAGTTTATATACTAAAATATAAATTTTAAAATCTCATAAACACAAGAATATTTATAACTTGTGATTTAATTATAATATTTTTGTAATATTGTTTATTTTGGCCGAATTTGGACACTTTATTGTAGAATTTGTGTGGTTATATTTCTACATTTTTAAGCATAATTTTAAAGTTCTTAGGGTTAGTGTCCTATTTGTTGATTAAATTTGTTGCAATTTATGTTAATTCATACTATTAATGCCAAATTTGATCGGAAGAAATTTCACGTGAATTTCACATTTATTTAGTAGTGAATTTGTTGATTAAGATAGACGTGACCTATACAAATAGTTAATATGGATAGTGGCATGGTACTAGTCTCGCTAAGATGCTTAAGTTAGTTAGAAATATTAAGATGTAAAAATAGATCGGACTTCATCTAGTAATGTTAACCGAGCACATGTACTTTTCTTCACTTTCGAGACGGTAGTTCATGTCTAGTCCACTGAATCATATTTCTTACAAATGCATGTTAAATTACAAGTTTAGTCTTTTAATTTAGAGGTTTTCAGTGTCGATGAAGTTCTTGAGTTACTAACTCAGTAATTAATAGGTCAATGACAAATTTAAAATGCAAATTGACTTATTAAATATAAATTTGAATTTGATATATATATATATATATAAATTTATAATCAAAGGAGAATTAAGAACTAAAATAAAATTTGTAGAGTAATATGAATTCCAAAATGCTAATTTTTTTACCCAAGAAAGGAAGAAAAATTTACCTATCAGGAAGGGTAAATTTTGGAGATAATAATAACTTCCAAAGGAAGAAATTATTTACTCCACGTAAATAAAAACAAATAAATAAAGTAAAAAAATGGGTGAGATATCATGAGCGCTGCATGACTTGCCTCTGACCTTAATAAGGACCACCGCCCCAGGGCTGCCCGCTTAGAGGGACAGCTCAGAATTGGGAGCGCCCTTCAAACTGGGGCAGAAGTCCCTCTTTTTTTTTTTTTTTTTCTTTAATTATTATTATTATTATTTATATATTAAAGAATATATAATAATTTAAGAAAATGACATTTTTGAGCTGAGCAGCAGGAAAAAAGGGCGTCTTTTTCGTAAAGGACACGGTATCCCATCATGTGTAATTTTTTATTTTTTATTTTCATTTCATTTCAATAAATAGAAAACCTCCAAACTTTATAATTACTTCACAAAAATTATTAAATATTTTTTTTTTCTTTTTCACTTAAATTTGAATATTTAATTTTTTGGTCGATATTAAATTAGTGATCAAACCGACCAATGTTGAGACTAAAAAAATAGTCGGAGTCAAAATGATGGACGGTGAAAGAATTTTAAATTTAAAATATTAAAAATAGGGTCGTTTAGGTTAATTATTACAAAATGGTAAGTTCGAGCTCGTGAAGTTATTTGAGCCGGTTTTTATTTGATTTTGAAAATTTTTACGATCACTAGCGTCGATTCCTTTTTCTTCTTGTGTTTTTAGATAGTCGAGTAAAAGTTGGTGCGTAGATGATTTGACTGGATCGAGTTAGAACATTGTATTGAACTGATCACTCTCCGATACGGCCAATCCTAGTAAGAGAGTTACCTAATGGGTCGGTAAGTATTTGGAAAAATTTAATGGGTCGGTAACTTTTGTCAACACTTGGCTGAAAGTTGAAGAGCAGGGGGGAGGGGAACGAGAAAGAAAAGGAAACGTGTTCCACTGTATCTATGATATATAATTACTAAAGGATTGGACAAGCTAACTATATCCAACGGTTCGGTTTGGGTTGAACCAACTTTTTTCTTGAGAACTCTACCCAATTTAAATCGTCCCTATTATCATCTCGAGAACTTTACCCAACCTAAATCGTCCCTATTATCGTCAATATATAGGGTCAGGATTTCGTACAATTTTTATTAGTTCAATATATGGAGTCGAGATTCGAACCTAAGACCTCTTGACCTCGGTTTGGGTTGAACCAAACTTTTTTCTTGAGAACTTTACCCAACCTAAATCGTCCCTATTATCGTCAATATATGGGGTCGGGATTCCGTACCATTTTTATTAGTTTAATATATGGAGTCGAGATTCGAACCTAAGATCTCTTGACCTAGAGTAAATGCCTAAACTAAGGCAAACAACATTCAGGTGAGTAGATTTAAATCAGCCGAGCTGATTATCTTTGCTTCTAATTTCCCCTAATACTTCAGTGACAAATTCATAGTCTTCTTTTCATCGGTCTTGGCACTTAAACTTCTAAAAGGAATAGATGCGGTTATTGACTCGCTACAATAGATATTAAGAGACCGAGACAAATTTACTTTTATTTAACTTATAAAATGAGACAGTTTAATTAATTTTAGTCGTTAAATTAAATGGTTTAATTATCAACCTTAACATTAAAAATTTATTTTTATAAAAAAATTATTTGTTTTTATTTGGATTGATTAATTAATTATAACTTTTTATCTACAAAATAGTAAATATATATATATATATATAATTAATTAATTAATTTTAAAAAAGGAGAAATTTTATTTTATAATTAATTAAAAAAAGAATAGAGAAAAATAAAATAAAAAGTACAGGAAGCCTGAAAACCCCAACCCTACCTGTTTTTTTTTTATTCTTTTCTCTACCAAAGCACTCTTCACCTCCGTATAAATTACCCCAACCTCACACTTCAAATCCTTTTTTTTCTTCGTCTTCTTCTTTCGTCCAATCCGAACCTCCATTTTCTCTCTCTACAAAATCTTCCCCCTTTCTCTCTCCTCTGTCTCTCTGCCACTGCGTTTTCCTCCATGAGAGCTTGCTTACGCACTCCGCCATGGGTAAGTACATCAGGAAATCCAAGTCCTCACTCGAAATCACCCTTATCGATGCCTCTCAGTCCTCCTCTTACATTGGCGTTCGAACTCGGGCCAAAACCCTAGCTCTCCAGCGCCTTCAGAAGACTTCCAATTCTCCACCGCCGCCGTCTTCTCCTGCCACCTCTGGTTCCTATCTCCAGCTCCGAAGCCGTCGCCTGCACAAGCCGAAGAATATTGCTCTCGCGAATGAGTCGAAGAAGCAGAAATTGCCGCAGAGGAGTAGCAATGAACGTGGCCGGAGAGTTACCGCTGATTCCGGAGAAACCTCGAGGTTGGGGGTTTGTTCGGTCGCCGCTGGTTCTATTGAGTCTGTTTCGCATCGGCGTGGCGACGGCGAAATGAAGGATGTGACGGTCGAGGAAATCGTGGTTAAGCAGAGCGAGGTTCAGGAAAATGTGAATATTCTTGACATTCAGGAAGAAGCTTCGTTTGGAGAGAATGTTTTGGATTTTGAAGGTGGAATGAGGTAGGTCTCTCTCTTCTTCCTTGAATCCCCTCTGTTCTTCTTCTTCTTTGTTGAATCTCCATTTTCTCTGCACATTTCGATACCTCTAAAACAGAGATTCTGAAGCTTTTTGGAAATTTCGGAGGGTTAGGTTTACCGTTTTTCTCTTCTTCTTGACACAACACAGTGTTATCATATCACATAGAAATTGATCAATCCGTTCCTAGGAAACAGAGAGTAATTTCAAGCATAATCAACCTGTTATGATTCGGCCTTTGAATATTTATCACGAATCTCTCTTCTGACAAACAGTTCATATATTTGTGTGTGCATTTCTTGAAATTGCAATGAGCAGGAAAATCTTTGGGGTTTAATTTCTTCTTGGTACTAATATCCTCGCAGGCACGAAAAACTGAAAATTCTATCAAAGCTCGAGAATGTCTAGAAGTCCTTTTTTCTATATTTTATCCCCCTCGGTAGTTTCAAGTAGTTTTGTCTTGTACATTTATTGAGAAGGGCATTACGCGCCTTACGCTGTGCAAATACCTTTGTAGAACTGTGCATTCCGAATTGCTTTACCTTTATTCTCCTGTTCGTTTGTTCATTGAACTCCATTGTTACCTTTTTTTTGTATTTTTTGGCCAATCCAGCTTGAGGATTCATTGAAACATGTGAAGATTCCTCTAAGAATCTCAACGTTTATCGTTTGATTGTTTATTGTTCAAATTGAAGGAACTGGGAACCTATTCATGGCTTGTTTACACATTTGGACTCGTCTGTCGATTTTGTTTATAGTCCAATTCTAATGACTGTTCATGTTAATGGTTGCAGTAGGGAATCCACTCCTTGCAGTTTGATACAGAAGCCCGAGAGCATACGAACACCCAGTTCTTCTACGAAGGCGTCGAGTACCACCGATTATAGGATACGACTGCAAAATTCCTCTGCAATGGATGTACCGACCACTCGGGAAGTTGACGATTTCTTCAACTACGTCGAAGGAGAGCAGCAAAGAAAATTCATTGAGAAGTAAGTGATGCATATCCCATGTTCAGCATTCTTTTCAAAGCCTTTCTAAGCTATAGTCCGCATTCACATCATGAGTATTACATTTCACGGTTAACTACAGGTATAACTTCGACCCGAACACAGGCAAACCACTTCCGGGACGTTACCAATGGGAGAAAATGGACGATTAGACAACGACATTCATTCAATATAATTCAGGACCCATTTATCTCAATGTTCTCAGGTTAAGTTGTGCTTATAAATGGTAGATAGTCAGATCTTAGTTTATGTGACCCTTTTACTTGTAAAGAATTAGGGCTGTACTAATGGTCTGTAACATAACAAGAAGTTGAATTACACAGCAAATAGAACTAAAAGCCTTGTGTCTAATAGATTGGTGTAGCATTTAGGCTGTTGGGTAATTAATTAGGTGAATGTGTGGGGTACAGAAATTTACTTAGAATTTTCATTTTCTTTATTTTAATTTTCTTCCATTTGTACCGTATGTTCCTCCTTATACTTGTACTGATGAAAGTGGGGGGAAAAAAACCCCTTTGATGGAATAAAATTCAACCATCACTTTTCCCCATATCTTCTTGTTTTTTGTCTCTTCTTCCTCCATTATCTTTGTTTGCAGGTTTTTGGTCACAGTAGACTTTGGCCCATCTCTTACATTATGTCTCCATGCAAGACAAGTCACTCCACACGTCATGTGATCTCGTCTCATGGAGGTGGAGCACCACCCTACTTGTGAAACCCCACATCGGTTGGAGAGAGGAACGAAACATTATTTATAAGGGTGTGGAAACCTCCTCTTCTTGGTAGAGGTATTTTAAAGCTAAGTTTGAAGAGGACAATATCTACTGGCAACCAGCGTCAGCTTGAGGTATTCTAAAAACTTAACGTTTTTGCTTAGAAGGATGAATTTTCAGTATTGTATTGGTCAGTAAACCGTGTTTTAGAGAAAAATTATCGAATAAGAAAGGATTTTAAAGCGATATTTGTGAATAAGAAATGAGAAAGATGAGTGTGGGGGCTAAAACCAAGGGAGAGGGCATCCAAATACACCAAGGGAAGGCTGTTCAAGAGCTCCATTAGACTTCATGGAAGGCTCTATAGTGTACTTTGTTTGAGGGAAGTATGGTCGACGAACAAGAAAAAAAAAACAATTTTTCTAGAAACCCGAAAGAGAAAGCCTCAAGAAGACAATATCTTACTCATAGTGGACTTGGATAGTTACAACCAGCACAAAGCGTCAGCTCCAGGTATTCTAAAAACCTTACGCTTGCTTAAAAGGATGAATTTTGAGTGTTCTATTGGTAAGTAAACCGTGTTTTAGAGAAAAATTACCGAAAAAGAAAGGAATTTAAAGCCATATTTGTGAATGGAGTGAAATGAGAAAGATGAGTGTGGGGGCTAGAACAAAGGCAGAGGGCACCCAAACACTGCGAAGGGTAACTATCAGAGGCTGCAAATGGCAGAGCACAGAGGAAGAAGAGAAGTTTACAGGAAAATAAGTTGGGATGTGCTTTTCATTCGTAGTGGTCCTAAGCTTTCCTAACTTAACTAACACCTTTACTGCATTCATTATCACTGCCTCTTTTATGCTCTTCTTCCTTCTCCTCTTCACTCTCTCTCTCTCTCAACTCAGGCCTTCTTCACAATAAATCACACTTTATGTGCAAGACAATGACCTCCATTTAATCCTCTCCTTCTTCTTCACAATAAATCACACTTTATGTGCAAGACAATGACCTCCATTTAATCCTCTCCTTCTCCCGTTCCGTGGAAATGTCGAGGTGAACAAAATCATAGAGGTTAAAATATCATTTTAGTTATAGTACCTCTCAAACTTGAGACTTGGAATTTTAAATTAAAAAATTTTAAAAACTCGAAATATTTTTAGTATTTTTCTTTTTAATTTATGAAGTTCTATCTTTAGATTTTAGATTTAGTTGTTAGTATAATTTTCTGACCTTTTTATTTCAATTTGTTTTTTAATTTCATCAATTTTAGTTAATTTCTTTTGGTGTTATGAATATCATTTAGATTTTGATGAAATAAAACACTAGTTTGGTGAAACTATTTTTCCCTATTTTCTTTTCCATCCTATAAACGTTGCTTTCAAAATTATTTTCTACATTGATAAAAGAAAAACTATAAAAATAAGTTTTAAAATTAAGAAAATGTAAAATATAACTTGAAAATCAAACGAATTTCTTTTAAAAAAAAAAAAATTGTTGAATAATCATTTTACAGTCAACTATAAATTGAAGTTAAAGCAGAGTTACCGTCCAAATATTAATCTGATAATATATCATTTTTGGACGCTTAACCTATACCTACCACGCCCACTTCATGTCCTTCCCACTTGAGCCAAAGACTTTTCCATCCATGAAATTTCAAAGGAACTGTAGGATCATTGACTTATAGCTAATTTCGTGCACACCTACCTAAAATATTTTACTTACGAGCTTTCATACGCTAGGTAGGATCATATGGTTCTCTCGTAATTCAATCGTTATCATTTTAAATAGTTTGATCTCGAAAGACCGAGAATGGTAAGAAAAAAACACATACTCTCGTGATAATAAGTAGTTTCAGTAATAGGGTAGGCTAGTTTGCATCAAGAACACAAAGTCATCAACAGATCAAGAATCAGATATGGATTCAGATTTGATGCGTTGAAAATTTATGAAGTATTAGAGGTTCATAAATATGACAAATCTAGAGGAAGTGGGAAATGAAAAACACTGATTGTCTCTGCATTTTATAACCAAGAAGCCACATTGATGGACTGACCGATCATTAGCAACAGCATAAGGATCAACCACTACCAATCTAACAAATTTAAAGCTTTCTAAGGTTACCTCAAGAGCTCACTCAAGCTTGTTTGGTGTAGAAGCGTATGGCGACTGCCAATCCCAAAATTGCAAGAGGAACGAGGAATTGGAGAAGCTTGATGATGAACTCTGATGTCTTGTCCTGATTGTAATGAGGCTGCTTTGGAGGCGTATATGTCACCTTCTTTGGAATTGTTGAAGCATCGATCTCTCCAACATAGTATTGATCCATCATTTCTCTTGCATTGTCACTATGCCCCACGTCTTCGAAGTCGTCGGTTGCATCCTTTCCTGAGATAGGATTATCGAGTATGAATTATCGTGTTGCCAAGTACGAATTATCGACTAGGTCTGAAAATCTATAAGTTGAAACATACCTGTAGCTGATAACAAAACATCGTCACCACCAGGATGGTCTTCTAAGAATTTGGTCACATCATATACCTGCTCAGATAATTTAAGGAACCAAGGAGATCAGATGACTGATGAACACAATTCTATAACATATGCAGCTTATATAAGTCATGAAAATGGTAGTTTTTTCTTCGATGGCGTTATGCTCTTGGCCCTCCTTGCTAATCCCGGAGCACGCTATAATAACCGGTTAATTTCTGAAAATTCTACACGATTCTATAACATATGGAGCTTGTATAAGTCACAAAAATGGTAGTTTTTCTTCAATGGCATTATGCTCTTGGCCCTCCTTGCTAATCTCCGAGCACGCTATAATAACCATTTAGTTTCTAAAAATTAAGCTTATAAATACTAATTCCACGTATACGTGTCTTTTGCTTTGTTATCCACTTTCTACCTATGTTTTTAAAACTAGGAGGAAACAAAAAATAGGTTCAAAAAAATATAAAGTCAAAATCAAATCGTTATGAGAAAGTGCCTAAGTTGTCCACTTAAGAATTTGAACCCAAAACCTTAGTAGGTACCTTCGAAGTCTATGCATCCCGAGCCCTTACAACTAAGGCCACCTCTTTAGGGTAGGAAATGAATACTTTTACTCCGACCACCATCATTTTCATTATCCATGAAGGATGCAAAAGAGTAACCAGAAAAAAAAAGTCTCAAAATCAGTTGAATAAACACAATTAAAGCACCTTAAAGTAAAGACTTTGTTTCAAATGGGCAAGCTGTAAATTCTGGGCTGGATTGGCCAATATTTACTGGTTAGTGATGAACTAAGGATGCATAGTACTTCTAGCAAAGGAAATTCTCTCCACTTTCAAGGGATCTTTAAACAAAACGTTGTCCATATGGATATCAAGACATAACGTTCAGTAAGTTGGCTACAATGTTTGAAAGTGAACATAGTTCCCAGCTCAAAAGTCACAACACCAGCAACCCTCTTTGATAACCATTTTGATTCTTATTCGTGCTTGTTTTCATTCGATTTCTTTACAATAGTTTTTAACTTTCTTAAAGGGAACATTTGAATTCATAGTCATAGATTTTGAAAATATTTCTAAAATTTAGAAAACAAAACAAAGAAAGTCATGTGTAGAAATAGTGTTTACAGGCTCAATTTACAAAAACAAAAAAACGGAGAACCAAGTAATTATCAAACGGAACCCTAATAATTAGATTGGCGGAGTGGATTGGAACAACCACATGAGGATATTAAAACATATCAAGCATCATGAATCAACAAACTTAAAGTGGATAGGTCAAAATATATTTACTCTTTTATACACATTCACAGTACTAAAAATTATCTCAAGATCTAAGAGACTATCAATGATATTCATTGGACTAGGAAATGCTCGTTCTCAGAAACAATTAACAGATAATCACTGCCACAGACTAAAACCTTAAGCCAATAGATCAAACAACAGACAACAAAGTCCAGTCCAGAAATCACAGATCTAACAGCTTAATACAAAATTAGAATGCCACAAATCACATCCAACAGTCAAAACAATCCAGCTCAACCAGAACAAAAAAAAAAACAACAAATCTGAAATCTCAAACAAAATCCAAAGCAAAAGTGAACTCCACCACCAGAACAAGGACAAGAATTCACCAAATAACAAAAGATCATCCCAAAAACTAGCAGAATCAGCTAATAAACCGGAAGAATCATAGATCCAACACAAAGAAAAAGAAAGGAAATGGAATATACCTTGCCACTGATGATGAGCCAACAGTCCTTGTGATTGTTGTGCTCTGCGACTTCCTTCAAGGTGAAGACCTTTTTGTCGCTATCCATCTGCTGGAATTGGATTCGTCGATCGGATTGTGTCCGATTGAGGAGGAAATGAAGGGGTAAAGTGGGCGACGAAAACGAGGATACAAAACAAAAATCATATATATATATATATAGAAAGGGCAATTAAATTAAGCTTATAGAAAGTTCTAGATGTCAATTGAAATCGGGATTCGGTAGTTGGTAGATGGAATGGCGATGGCTTTCATTCAAAACCTAACAAAATTTCTAGCAATTGGTCGGCAAATAACGTACCAATTTACTCTTAAATTTTTATTATTTTTTTTATTTATTTAATCTTTAAATTATTTATTTTATATTTAGTAAGTCTCAATTATATATAAATTCAAATTTAATGCATTTAATTTTTTTATTTAGCATTTTCCTAAACTAAAATATATACATCAAAGTTTAGGGCTAAATTTGTAATTTTAACAATAGGCGAACAAACAAGACACGGATCACAATGATTAATTCAAGGGAACAACCTCGTTGCAAATATAATTGGATGATACGATAATTTAAATTTATTTAAATTAATAAAAATGTTCCTGAATTTTGTATTCCATTTGAAAAATACCTAAAAGTGTTAGAATATTGACATTATATTTAAAAATTTATGGGTATTTTAGTAATTCTGAGTGTATTTTTTAATTTTTTAAAAGTTCTTAAAAATTCTAAAGAGTATTAATGGAATTTTAGAAAGTTGAGTCGTATTTTTTTTTAACACTTATAGAAGTTTTAAGAGTATTTTATAAATAAAATATTAATGTTTTCTATAGGGACACAAGTATTTCTTTAATTCAAGAATATTATTAAAAAATTTAATTTTTTTGTAAGAGTATTGACGTCATATTTAAAAATTTGTGGGTATTTTAGTAATTGTAAGTGTATTTTTTTTTTTTTTAATTTCTTAAAAAATCTCAAGGGTATTAATGAAATTTTAAAAAGTTAATCGTATCTTTTTGAACACTTTTAAAAGTTTAAGGATATTTTATAAATAAAATATTAATATTTTTATTCGGACCAAGTATTTCTTTAATTCAAGAATATTATTAAAAAAAAAAATTTTTTTATTAATTTGATTTAAAATAAAAGAGGATCTTTTGTTTATTATATTTATTTTTTGGGTATGAAATTTGAAAATACCAACAATTATTATAATTAAAATTTATGAATAGATAATAATTAGTTTTTTTTATAAAAAAAAGTCAATGATATTTATCATTTTCCAAAATTAAAAAAAAAAGGTGAAAAATAAGCTTGTAAACTTAATTTAAATTAATAATAGAATTAAAATCCCTTCAATAATTATTATATTAAATGATGAACATTTAAGAGAATCAAATGGCAGGCAGGCATTATTAATTGGGAAAAATAAGAATTAAATTGTGTACCAATTAGTAATTTAGATTAAAATAATAAAGAAAAACTAATTAGTGAAAGGGTATATTTGGGATTATGAAATTAATATATGGACAAAATAATCCAAAATTTGTTCGTTCACAATAGTTTTTTAAAACTAAATAAATAGTTTGCGAACATACCTGGAATTGGAGGGAACTCTGGAAGCATTGAAGGCGATGAGTAGCCGCATACTTCACATTTTCCAGCCCTACGCTTCGGCCGGTGGTCGGATAACTTTGCCGATGGCGGTCTCTACTTGCCGGAATCTGGCGGTGTTGATCAGGTGTCAGTTCTATCACCGTCGGCGACCGGGATGATTGTTTGGCAATTTCTTGTTCGATGGTTTCACGTGGTATGCAACTGTCTTTTAGTCCTATTGTATTTACAATACCTCACATTCTTGAGCATTTTCCATTTGTTTCATGTTTCTATTCGCGCATTTATGAATATTTCTTCCATGATTTGTGCCGCTTTCAGCAATTCTGTAGTGCAATATAGGCGAATATCCTGTTTTCATAATCGGTAGGGTTTAACACGCTGGGCTGATTTTGTGATTTTGCAAATTGGGCCCTTAAATTCAGTTTATTGTTCCTATTTCATCGATGAGATTTACTGGATTTGAAATGGAGAGAATGTGGTATAGAACAAGCAGGGTAATATGAACAATGGCTGTAAATAGTCATTATTCCTCATTGTGGAGCAGCTTGAAGTCTAAGCCCTCAATATGGTTCTAAACTTTCGTTTAAATCATGTTCATTTGTCTACTTTATATTGTTCGTTTAGTTTATTTTACCCTACTGCACTCGGACTACCTTGGACACAATTGCCTAGTTTCACAAGCTGAGTAGGCAAGCAAGCACACTGTAAGATCCTACATCGGTTGGAGAGGGAACGAAGCATTCCTTATAGGGTGTGTAAACCTCTCCCTAACAAATGCGGTTTAAAACCTGGAGGGAAAACCTTTGAAGGGAAAGCTCAAAGAAGATAATATCTGCTAGCGGTGGGCTTGGGCTGTTACAAATGGTATCAGAGCCAGACACCGGGTGATGTGCCAATGAGGATGCTAGGCCCCCAAGAATGGTGGACTGTGAGACCCCACATCGGTTGGAGAGGGAACAAAGCATTCCTTATAAGGTGTGGAAATCTCTCCCTAACAAACGCGTTTTAAAACCTCGAGGGAGCCTTTGAAGGGAAAGCCCAAATAGAACAATATCTACTAGCGGTGGGCTTGAGTATTTTCCCCCCAAGCAATCACCTTTGATCACATAATAGCTCAAAGGCTGTTATATATTGTTTCAACTATGTCATCCCGATCATAGCTCATTTAGGTTAGACGTATATCTTCAACCTAGAGGTCAGAAGTTCCAATCCCCTTAAACTCTCATTGTGTTGAACTAAGGCAACCACTCGAGCTTGTACTTTATCTTTGTGTCTTATTCTGCACAAATATCTTTAGTGTCTTATTTCATTCAGGCTTTCAGTTGTCTTTGCGTTGTCTTTGTGTTGTCTTTGTGCATACCTTGTGCTGTGAAGAACACGAATTCAACAGCTTTAATGGAAGAAGCCATTGGGGGTTTCTTTTACTCCTCCATGTGTCTTGTGCATTATAAATCTCGCCTCACTTGGGTTTGCACTTGTATTTTTGCTATGCATTTAAGTATCAAAGAGCTGTCGTGCCTTGTACTTTATTCAACATGGATCTGCAGTTTTTACCGTATAAGCTCTGAGCAGACACGACATGAAGTAAATTTAGGCTGACTAGTCATCCGACGAAGACTTGAGAGTTTATCCAAATGTAGCAAGTCCTTGGTTATAATACATGACTTTCTAGGCTTCTAACTTTATATATATATTGATGTATAAATTATTAGCGGTTTTATTGCTGCATGTCTGATTCACTCCCCGTAAATATATTTCTCCTCATATCTTTACTTGAGACACGGTATCATATATGGTTCTTAATTTCCATTTGTTATATCACCTTCTTTACATCCTATAAAGTATTTGAATGGAAATACTGTTCTGTACAAGTTTATTTAACAATTTGTTGGATCTGATGTTATGCTTCCCCTGACTCTTTGGCAGAGCGTTGGCCAACCTTAGATAAAATCAGAGCACGTGCTATCTTTTGGAAATCCTGGCTAGGTTACCCCGAAGGTTCCTGCTTCTAAAAAGTGATACTTTTTGGGATTCTGGTGGATTTGTGCCTGTGAGAGGGTTGCTCTCTCGTGAGTTTTTCTCCCAAATGACTGTTCGTTTTCCAAAACACCATGGGTTGGTCTAATAATAAAGGGCTTATGGAGAATGAGTTCAAACCATGGTTGTAAGCCCAAGCCCACTGCTAATAGATATTGTCTACTTTGGGCCGTTACATATCGTTGTCAGTCTCACGGTTTTAAAACATGTCTGCTAGGGAGAGGTTTCCACACCCTTATAGGGAATGCTTCGTTCCCCTCTCCAACCGATGTGAGATCTCACAATTCACCTCCCTTGGGGGCCCAGTATCTGGCTCTGATACCATTTGTAACAGCCCAAGCGCACCATTAATGGATATTATCCGCTTTGACCCGTTATGTATCGCCGTCAGCCTCACAGTTTTAAAATGCGTTTACTAGGGAGAGGTTTCCACACCCTTATAAGGAATGCTTTGTTCCCCTCTCCAACCGATGTGGGATCTCACAATGGTGACCACCTACTGGGATCTAATATCTTATCAATCATCTTGGCAACCAAATGTAGTACAGTGAAACGGTTTCTTGTGAGAACAGTCCAGGTAAGCTAGTCTGAAAACTCACAAATATAAAGAAGCTATGAACTCGGCAACCAGGTTTTGCACTAGTTATAGTATTAGGATGCAGTCTCTTACCCTCCTTCCTTCATTGACCCCCTACTGGTTTTGTTTTTGTTCTGTTGTTTCTTAACTTATTGAGGTGCCTCTTATGGTAGGCCAACCAGTAAGTTCTATTGATTTGTTATGTACTAGAACTTTGCCGATACCTAAGTGGATGTTCTTGTTACATTGAAATTTCTTTTTGCTAGTTTTTAGCAGTGTTGGGTCAATCCACAATAATGAGAGAACAGCTTATATAGATATATATGTGTATGTGTGTGTCTGTTAAGGGCTCTCGGGTGTTTAATTTGACCATCACTTTCACTTCTTTTCTTGAGTAAAAGTTTCCTCCAATTTTCTTGGTGGCTCACTTGTATCCTGTGATTAGCTTTCTATACGGTGCTTCCCCAACTTTACTTTAATTAGCCACTCTTACCTGCTTCAAGCTGATGTATATCTCATTAGTTCAATTTCATGTGATACATAGAGCGTCCCGAGAAAACTTTTTGGTATTTTAGTAGTATAAACGTCGTTGCTAGCATCAAAGAGAGTTGTGTCGTAACGTAGCAAAATTCTATATTGAATAAGTTTCGAGAATTATTCAACTAAGTCGTTTCATGATAACGGTTGGATGTGAATTTGAAACTTCGCATGTGGATACAAATTCAAAATTTTTGTTAATTGTTCCTCTGACCTTTTTACTTTTGTATGGTTGTAGCACTAGAAATATTTCACTAGAAATATTTCTGTATGGTTGTAGCACTAGAAATATTTCACTAACTCTGACCTTTTTACTTTTTCTTCTTTGAAGTATAGGAAAATGATATAACAATCGGGAGCAAATACGAACATTGTCAAGATAAGATGAATATGGCTCCAAAGGTCGTTGCCTTATCTCTCACCCACCCTTTCTCGTGATATAG